TCAAGACCACCACTGGACTATAAACATCCACACGCTCATTCAAGGTGTGGCGGATGTGATGAACATGACTGATACTCTATTCGTTGCTCTATTCATTATTCTCTTGTTTTAATATTCCATACGCTGTACATATTCGCCAATTCGAATACACACGTGCTGGTTGTTACGCTGCGCTGAATTCTGGGTTTCTAGTTCGTCTGGTTACGCCGATATACGTACGAAACTTAATTCTCACACGAGAGTAATGCGACAAACTGTTAAACATCTTTTCACCAAACTTTCTGGGTATAAAATCGTGCACTTTATCCAGCCTTGCCATTGATATCCTCAGAGGCCCTCAGGGCTCACATTCAGCCTCAGAGCTTTTTTTGACTGAAGCTAGATCTTGACACTTGATTAGGGAAAGGAACTGCAGTGATTACTTTAGTTTACTGCTGGATCCATGTCCAAAAGCGCGGTCTGAATTTGCTCGAGAAAAGAACACACTGGGCACGCCCTTCCATGACATTGAACGCATAGGGTCGTCATCACTTCTACTCTCGTCATGGACACTTCAGGAGAAGTAATAACAACCGTTTTCTGGGAGGTTTGAATTTGTAATGTTCGTCTTCCCGAAAGCGTGGTGATAAACGAGGACCCACGCAACCCCTCAGGCGGAATATATACTTACGTTAATGGTCAGCTCGGCGTTGTGGCGGACCTAAGACTCCTGTCCACTGACCAACGCGAGTTAGGTAACTCCGATCCAAGAAAAGCTAAACGGGCATATGCTCGGCAAGGTGCTGCACTTTTTACTGCCAGTTAACCCTTTACGATGAAACGCTTGTTTGGTTATCCGTCAAAATCTGGGAAAAGCCTGCTAAAACGTGGATTAAAGCACCGTTGAATGTATATCTCTGTAACCCATCTTTTTATCAACGATTTAGTCAATCTTAAGTGTGTTGTTCAAGCTTACTCCAACCTCTTCGATGCCGGACGCCGACGCCCAGTTCTTGAGAGCGATCCTCCAGCGCCGGAAGTCAGAACTGAGGCAAGGGTGGAATAGGCAGCCTGCCAAATGGTTGAATACAGGTAGAGCATGATGTGTTGCGTCCATACTACGCGCAAACAAAATGTGACATAAAAGTGAACAGGAAATCTGTACGGGGAACTGATAAACACGCAGAAGTAGGCAGACCACATAGTAACTTTAGGAGTGTGTGGCAAAGAAATAAAAACAATAACGCTAGGTTGGGTATACAAAAATAAAGAGGTCAGATGGAAGAGACTCACTAACAAGTGTTCTCTTTAAAATACTTCGTCGTTGGCCCAGGTCAGCGAATAAACAACTAATCCAATTATGTTGGTCCAGAGGTCTTCTTCTGAACAGTTCCCACATATAATGGATTCCGAAGATGGTCTGAAACGTTTTGGCACCAGAGTTAGTACATGAGACTCGCGAATGACCGCTACAAGCGCGAGCGAAATGAGAAGAGAGAGTCGAAGCACGGGGCCACGCTTGTGTTTTGTGAAATTGTACAAGTGCGCGTTTTCGTAGTTTCTCATATTCAAACAAAAAACGATTATGCAATTGACGAAATACGTAGTGTTATAATGGAAGTAAAATAAGGGTACAAAACGTCACACTACTCCCCCACTAGAGCGTTGACCATGAATGGAGAAAACGCTCGAATGACTAGAGTAACGAATCAAAAGTTGCTCACTTCAAGTTTCGTAATCAGCTAAGTGCTGAGGGAAACGGACGCGTCGTCCGAAATGACTGGTGGAAGAAGTGGAGTTGGTGGGAAGGATATCTTGGGTAGGTGTGGGTGTTGTTGGGATAGCATGATTGCTGGATGTGGTCGTGGGTGCTTAAATGTAGGCAAGTTTCAGGCGATCAATGGAGACTGCATCATGCTTTCCGCTTCTCTCTAAAACAAAGTATTTGGAGTGACGTTCCTGTGTAGTGGTCTGGCTACACAATAAGTTTGTTTCCCAGGGGTGTGTGGCAAAGAAATAAAAATAATGTCGCTAGGTTAGGTTTACAATAATAACTAATTCAGACAGAACAGACTCACTAACAATTGTTCTCTTTTAAATAGTTTATCGTTGGCTCAGGTCAGTGAATAAACAATAATCCAATTATCTTGGTCCGGAGGTGTTCTTCTGGACAGCTCCCACATACAACGGATGGTCTGAAATGCTTTGATACCAGAGTTAGTACATGAGATTCGCGAATGGCCGCTGCAAGCGCGAGCGAAATCAGAAGAGAGAGTCGAAGCACGTGACCACGCTTGTGTTTTGTGAAATTGTACAAGTGCGCGTTTTCGTAGTTTCTNAGGGAAATAAGCGTGTCCAAGAGACGTTTGTGTTACACATCGACAGATAGGTTGTAATGGGTCAGGAAATCTGCACCGATGATGGGTTTTTGGACGTCGGCCAAAAGAAAGATCCACTTGAACGCACGTCGCAATCCAAGGTCAAGTGTGAGGGAACGTTCGCCGTATGTAGCGATGCGGGTACCGTTGGCGGNTGTAAAGAGAAAGAAGGAGAATCGGGAAGTGGATTCTTATGTGGTAGCACAATATCTTCAGCTCCCGTATCTACGAGGAAACGTAGATCATTTGAACGATCGGTGATGTGGAACAGGCGAATAGTGCGAGGAGGACCACAGACAGTCGTCGCCGGTACTGACTGGCCGGGGCGTTTAACGGGGTTATGGAACGCGGCTTGAAGGAACAAGGTGGTTTACAATTGCGTACTTTTGGGCCATAAGATCGGTGATGCCAGCACCAAGAGGGACGGGCACGTGACAACGATCTGGACCATGAACATGGTCGATGCCTGTTGATCTCTAACCGGTGTAGGCGATCGGTCAAATCATCAAACTTGGCTTGTAGGTGCGATATAGAAGCAAGAAGCGGGTCGGAATCTGTAGTAGTGGGCGCAGGGCGGGAGACGGAGTTTACGGGGTTGCTGGGGTAAGTTTCATGGATCTTATCCGTCAATCGGTCTGACTGCCCCAAGCTGTGGTCGCCAACGAAAGCGCTGGTGACGCGGGACACGGAGGGTGGAAGTTTGTCGAGCCATGGTTGGGCCATGATTCCACCGCTGGCTTACGGACACAGAGGAGACTGCGCATGTGGCAAAGCAGTTGTGATGGCGATCTGTCACCAAGTTTGACATTGGTGGATAGATCCCGTAGCATTTTTTTTCTAATTTCCCTGTCCTACTTATGACGGCCGCTCGAAGGGCGTCATACGGATTTTCCTTGGGAATATCCTCCAATAGATCTTCCACTTCTGTTGCTACATCACAAGAAAGATGCTGGACAACATAGGAAACCTGCGTGGCTTGGGACGTGATGCGTCGATTAGTAGAAACGGCCTCCACCTGGTGAAACCATACCCTGGGTTTGCGTGAATTGTAGTCTGGTAAACGTACGCCAATGGCATTATCGACTGAATCCACTGAATAAAACTGTGCCTCCATAATTACCGAAGAAAAAAATTAAGACGGCTTGAAAGGAAAAGCTTTCAAAAATATCTAGAAATACTCAGGCTCACGAAATTTGTAGTGGTCTGGCTACCCATTAAATTAGTTTACCAGGAGTGT